TTGGAACAGAGAAGAGGGGGAAGAGTTTTATAACTGAGGAATTAAAGGAGCCCAATTCCATGAAATAAGGAAAGCAGAAAGAGGTCTAACTGGGAAGAATTTGTTCCCCAGTAAGTGAATAAATTCCATCATTATCCATGTATTTGCAAAAGCTACAATCTTAGGATCACTTAGAATCTTTTAAAAATATCCTTTGTTCTTTCTTAACCCCCATGAAAAGTCAAAAATTATAATCAGTTCTACTTCTGAAATCTTTGTCCCACTCAGTTCAACCCACTGTCCAGTATATTATGCTTATGGTTCACTGACACCAAAAGGCCATTGTGATGACATTTTAAATATGGTCTTGGCTTCAGTTTCACTCTTTTACACCAGCCATCTGTTTGGCAGCCTGGGTGATTCTTCCCAAGCTTATATCTGATCATATCGTCTTTCTCCTTTAGGCATGTCCACAACTCATTGTGTATACACACTTGTATATACACATATGTATATATTCCAACAGAGGTTTCCACTTGCCCATTAGAAGTTTCTTCTGGGGACTATATAATAAAAGAAAGAAAGACAGGACTGCAAAAACCCTTATTTCTTAGGGTAGGCAATTTGGATTTTTTTTTTTTTTTTGAGTCAGTGGTCTTGCTCTGTTGCCTGGGCTGGAGTGCAGGGGCTCAATCATAGCTCACTGTAGCCTTGAGCTCCTAGACTCAATTGATCCTCTTGCCTCAGCCTCCTGAGCAGCTGGGACTACAGGCATGTGCCACCATGTCCAACTAATTTTTAAATATTTTGTAGAGATGGGTTCTTTCTATGTTGCCCAGACTGGTTTCAAACTCTTGGCCCCATGTAATCCTCCTGCTTTGGCCTCCTAAGGTGCTGGAATTATAGCTTAAGCCACTGCACCCAAGCTAATTTGGATATTTTATTATATTTATTAAGCTTCCCTTTGGCCTGCAGGTTCAGTGATATTATTAATTCCTCTTTGCCTTGACTAGGTTGTTCTTTTGCTAGGAATATCCTTTCACCTACCTCATCTTCTGAGTATCATGTACTTTAAGAATCCCTCTGTAACACTCTACTCTGAGCAGGAGTAATAGTGCTCACCTCTGGTTTTACTTAATGCTTATGTTTATTTCACTAGTGTGCATACTCCTATGTTCGAAATTCACTACAGCTCCATTGTGCTTTTTCTGTCTCCACCAGTAAATTATGGGCTTCCTGATGTGATGGTGGTTATTGTGCCTTCACAAACTTTGTTTACCAGTACAGACCAGGCTCCAACCAGACACTCAATCAAGTAGTTTTCAATTTTTTTAAATTTACATCTTCCTCTTCCACTCATTCTTCTTTCCTGCTTTGCCCTCTATCATATGAGAAGAGGGTATTTTTTTCCCTCCACAAATCCCTCTGATCCCATATATTATTGCCAGATAAATTAAACCATTACTTTTTGCATAAACTAAGTTGCTACTCTGGGCAAGTGAATTTTCTGAGACACTGATCATTGCACAATTTATTGTCACATCTGCATTAGGATCTGCTTGGATTTTCAAGGTGAATATTCAGGTACTCAGCTTAAATTAAGAGATCCGGCAAGAAATTCCTTTTGTTTTTTAGGGGTGGAAAAAAAAATCTTCCATTGCCTACTCTTTCCCTGAACAAACCTGTTCTAGTTTGATATTGTCAAAATTTTGGGTAGATTAGATAGAACATGGCACTATCCTTTAAACATAAGGGGTTACAACCATCTGAACAGCAAAGGTAAGAAGACATGTACAGATAGTTCCCTGCTTAGGAGTAGGGGTACACCAAACATATGTACTAAAAATAAAAGAATCTGGGGAAAAATGAGAGCACAAGGATCTTATGAAATCACATTTCACTAAAAGTACTATGACTGCCTCATATAATATCAGTATAAATTTTAGGTAAGGGTATGAGAAGAGTTCTGAGAAGATTTTCCTTTCTTCTTGGTGATAATAGTTTAAAGGTTCACAATTCAAGCCAAGAGCCCTAGATATCCCATAAGTATCAGATGATGCTTTGTTTTTAAGGTGGAATCATAAGGAGTCATAGCCATCTATAACAGAAAGTCTCTAGAACAGCGATTGTAAATTGGGAGCTTCAGATGTGATTTGTTTGATCCACACACTATAACTTTTTAAATTATTTACTAAGATTTTAAATTTTGGAGATATAACATAAAAGTCTAGGTTTGTTTATTATTTCACAAAATCAGAAGATTGACAACACTGGCTCAAATTCTACATGACTTCAATCAGTCAAGGCTAAATACTGATTATCCCTTATAGATGAGGGTATATTTTCCCTTTTCTCATAATCTCTGTCATTTTCACCTCACTCCCTGAAAAAAGGGTCTAATATCAATTGCCAGTAGTCATTTCACTTGCACTTTTGTTTTACCCTCAATAGAATTAAGAGCTCAAAGTAGCAATGAGGGAAGTGAAAGAGTTCTTGTATCATATCTATCAATTTTTTAAAAATTAAGACAGGCTGAATCGCTATATTTTAAACAAGATGGGAGAGTTTACATTTTCTTATAGAAATAAAGGATTTTTCACATCTTTAAGCACATGAAGTATGCTTTTGTTGAAAACATAAAACTTCGTATATCAAAATCTTGCAATTCATTACAAAAAACTGATTTATCTATGGAAAAATGTACAATGAAAATATTAATTAAAAAACATTGAAAGTTAGGTTTTGGGTTTGAATGCATACACTAAATGTTATTGCTAGAAAATGCACTTATGCATTCAGCAACAAAACTTTATAGGCATCAAAATATTTCATAGATACCAAACTTATAAAAATGTCTATTAATTGCATCAGAAATTATCTGTCCAACTAGAAGTATTATTGTTGTTGTGTTGAAGAAATGATGGAGACTATATACAAAGCAAGTTATGTGGAAAAGTTAAATTTCCTGTGACATTTTCTTTTGCAGCTTATGAGAACACAAATATAAAAAAATACCATAGAGTTATGAATATTTGTTCATGTTGTCAATGAGAATTTTAATGTGATTGGAGAAATTTTTAGTGTGTTGCTCGTTACAAACAAAGCAGGAAATGACTTGTTTAGGTATATTGAAAAAGTTTTAAAAAGTGTAAAGCAAACTGACACAAGAGCAGAAAATCAAACACCGTATATTCTCGCTCATAGGCGGGTGTTGAACAATGAGAACACATGGACACAGGGAGGGGAGCACTACACACTGGGGTCCGTTGGGGGGAAACGGGGGAGGGGTAGGGGGGTGGGGAGGTGGGAAGAGATAGCATGGGGAGAAATGACAGATACAGGTGAGGGGACGGAAGGCAGCAAAGCACACTGCCATGTGTGTACCTATGCAACAATCTTGCATGTTCATCACATGTACCCCCAAACCTAAAATGCAATAAAAAAAAAAGTGTAATGTAAACAGATCACAGTACCCATGAATAGCTGTTAATGTCAGACTTGTAAAATGTATATCCCATGTTGTTGCAAAGTTTTTCAGGGACCTAGCATTTATATGTGTTTATTGGCAGATTCACCAGAAATTATTTGCTTTGTCATAAAAGGTTTATATAGAGTATATTGGGAGTATAGTAGTTGCCACCATGAGCTGGAGGAACCCCTCATCCCCTTTGGCTTGAACAACAGGCAGCTCAAAACTTGGAGGAAAAGTGCATATAGTACGTGGTCAGCTTCCCTTTATGGCCTGGGTGACTAAATTAGGGCAAGTGCTCACCCTAGATATAAAATCCACGGTGGAAAGAATTAATCATGTTAGGGAAGAAATCAACTCTTTTCTTTAATATATTGACGACAATTAAATAACCCCACCTCATTCTTCACCATTTCCCTTACTTGCACCCCTGTTAAAATTAATCTATACAAATTCTGTACTTGGCAGTGGAATTCTAAATACAAGCCTTGACACTAATGCTGATGCAGAAGAAAAGGTGTCAGATGTCTAGTTTGCATATCAAAATGTTAATAAATCAGTTATGAAAGAAAATTAATTATTGTAATTTCAATTTGGAATTTTTGTTTTTTAACTTAAAATATTACCAGTTTGAATTTTTGCTTTCTCTCATATGCTCACCACATAAATAATTACTTTTTTTATTACTTTTCTGTCAGCTTATTTTTGTGACAACTAGCCTGTTTTACTTATTCAAGGTACCTCTGTGTTAGTCTGTTTTGCTTTGCAATAAAGGAATACCTGAAGCTAGGTAATTTATAAATAAAAGGGTTTTATGTGGTTCTTTGTTTGGGGGTAGGGGCTGTACAAGGAGCATGGAGCCCGCATCTGATTTCTGTAAGGACCTCAGGAACCTTTTATTCATAGCTAAAGGCAAAGGGAGCCAGTGTGTCACATGAAAAGAGGGAGTAAGAGAAAGATGGAGGTGCAAGGATCCTTTAAAATAATCAGATAGCCTGTGAACTAATACAGCAAGAATTCACTCATTACTGGAGCAGGGGTGGCACCAAGCCATTTGTGAGGGATCTGCCTCCACGACTCAAACACCTCCCACTGGGTCCCACTTCCAACACTGGGGTTCACATTTTAACATAAGAATTGGAGTGGTCAAATATCCAAATTATGTCAACCTCTCTGGCTCCTGTAGGCATTTGAGTCTGTGACATCTACATGAGATAATATTTTAGCCATTCCTACCCCCTGCCCCTACTGTCTACTCTCCAACAGAAGGAAAAGTTTATTGGCAGTCTAGAAGATAATCACTGAAGTGTGAGACCACTTTGGGTTTATTTCTATGTACACAGCATATACTACGGTACCTATTCAATGAGGGTTCATTGGATGAAAGGATGGATACATGGAGGGATGGATGGATGTACTTCAGTTGAAGACAGACCACATACCCAGAACTCTTTGAAGATGGAAATTTTATTTCAATCTCATTTCAGTTTAGTATCAAGGGTAATCTCTCTGTTTCCTTCAACTTCTCTTTATTGACCCTTCTCTTCCTTAGATGCCTATACAACAGCTGAAGTGGTTTATTCTTGGACTCTCGGAAAGAACAAATCTGTGGAAGTGGCACAGGATGGCTCTCGCTTGAACCAGTATGACCTGCTGGGCCATGTTGTTGGGACAGAGATAATCCGGTCTAGTACAGGTATTTAACTTATTTTATTTAACAAATATTGCTACAACTTGTACCTCATGCCAGTCAATGTTCTAAGTGCTTATAACTTATTTAATCTTCAAAACAATGTTGTGATAAAGTTAGTATTATCATGAGAAAATTATTATCAGTAATTTGCTCCATGTCACAGTTATGCAATGGCAAAACCGAAATGAACACTTTGCAGATTGGCTCCCCAGACCATCCTCTTAACCACAATAGCCTGCTGCCTCTTGGAGAGTGGTATAGAAAGTAAAGGGCATTTGGGTTGGAGTATGAGAAGAGAAAGCAAATGGAGGCCATGGTGGGTGAAGAGCTGAGCTTTGGTCCTAAAGATTTTATTAAAATATTTGCTTAACTCAGCCCATGCTGAGGTGGCACATTAATAATCCCAGAAAAGGTCAAGCACACAGCCCCAATGTCCAGGGAGTAGTCAAAGAATTATTTTCTTAAGTGAATCACGTAAGTTAGAAAAAAAGCTTAGGTGGCAAAACCTGCTAGGTCTTATCAATGTCTAACACTGATATTGACAAATGGAACTAAAGTTTTGTTCTGTGGCCTTACCAGCTCAAGGGGCCTGAGGCATGATATATTCTGAATCTCAACTAACCTTAGAATATTTGCCAAAATGGAGTATATGTTGGGGCCCACATATCACATAATGTTTTTGCTATGAAATATAAAACCTTTCAACATTAATATTCAAGCAACACTTGTCTCTGTGACTCCACAATTATAAATGTCCTTTTATCTCATTATCTAAGCATATACTGTTCCCCCTTGTGATGTCACAGTCTATCATCTTCTCTGTCCCCTGTTCTCCCTCCACCTCAAAATCAGGGGAGAATGTCTAAAAAAAATCGACATTTGAAATGGAGTTGAAGGACAAACAGGATTTAGAGATCTAGAATTAGTGTGGGGAAAGGCTATTCTTGACAAAGACAATACTGAAATGTCAAAAGTCCAGAATGATGAGAGAACATGGGTGTTGGGGAAGCTGAAAGCTATTCAGAGTAAGATGCAGAAGGGATAGGGAGTGTAGGGCTGTGGGGGTGGGTAAGCTGTTCTATGGGGTCCTGGAGTCACGTGTGGCAGGCCTCCACCTGGACCAGTCCAAGTGGGATAGGTAGGCCAGGTGCAGTTGGCTCCAATCTGAAGAGTCCCCTCCCTCCAGCAGGTGAGCATTGCTGCTGCAGTCAAGTGCCTGGCTTTGGCAGAAGCAGTAGAGGTGGCTAGCAGTGGGAGTGTCTGGGCCACCTGAGCCCTGTCCCTGTGCCCCAAGAGTGCTCCTGGCCATCGTGCATTGGCTTACCTGGGTCACTGGCCAGGGCTCAGAGCCCTGGGAGTGTGGCCAGAGCTAGAGAGGAACCCATCCCTGGCTCACTCTGCTGACGGTGAAGCAGGGGCATTGATACACTTTTCCTGCACTAGCTGCACAAGTGCTGCCAGGCTCCAGGGCCCTGATCCTGGGACTGTGAAAGGAAGGAGGGAGAGAAGCCATCAACAGGTCTCACATACCCTCCTGTCCTCTCATGTCTCCACTGGACCCCGTACATGTGTGAGCAGAGAAGCCGGCCTCCTGCTTCCAGAGATGCCACCACCACTGCTACTGCCTCCTCTCCCCTCCCTTTCCCACCCCAGTTTAAGGGAAGACAGGAAGGAGGCCCTTGGATGAGGCTGAGGCTGCAGCACCTATAGCCCAAAGCCGTGCACAGCACAGCTGGGCCCTAGAGTCTGAGGGCCTGCCTTTGCAGCTGCAGGGATTTCCTCCTTGGAGAGAGTAAGCAAGAGAAGTCCCTGCATCCATTCACTCTCCTCACCTCCCCGTCCATCCTGGGCACTGCCGGCCTGGCATCAACTCATGAGACCAATTTTTGGTTGCCCAAGCAGACCCTACTCCCAATTCATTTGCGTAAACTGCTGTTGGTCTTATCTTTAGCACACAGACGATAATGTTCATGACAGGAAAATTAGAACTACACAAAGGAGCAAATATTGGAAATTAAAATACTTTTTGTTTCCACTATCTAGAAATATCTTAGAAGATATTGGTACATTAACTGATTATTTTACATTTGTTATCAAAGATGGTTCCATCTGCATTTTTGGTATAAATATCTTTTTATGTAAATAAGGCCATAGTACTGATATTTATAAGCTGATTTTTATTTCATTTTATATTATAAATGTGTTTTTGTGTCAATAAATGCACAGAATCCACTTAAACTGCACACAAGATTTAGTAAAATATGTTAGCAATTAGAATGAACACACCACACATTTATTATTACTTATTTTGGTTACTTAAAAAAACAGTTAAAGTGAAAAGCCCTCCTGCCATGCCAGAGCATAGGTGACAATGATGATATGCCGTGTTGTCACTTGGAACTGTAGCATTTCATTGTGAAACTCAGTAAAATAGTATATTTTGGATAATGTCCTCATATAGAGAGATCACAATCTGTTTAAACAATCATCTACTATATATTCTGTGTTTTAATGCTATAAACAACACTGTAAACACCCTTCTTTTCCATAAAGCATTTTGCTCCTGTGTAATTATCTCCCTAGGATACAGAAATGATACTGAGATTGCTATTTCAGAAAGTAGACACATTAAAAAAATTGATACATATTGACAAACTGCTGTTCTGAAAGGTTACAGAATTCACACTCCCATTATCAGTGTATGAACATGCCAATTTTCCCTCACCCTTGCCAACACAGGTATTATGGGTTGAATTGTGTCCCCTGAAAAGATATGTTTAAGTCCTAATCCACAATACCTCAGAATGTGGCCTTATTTGGAAACAGGGTCACTGCAGATGTAATTAGTTAAGATAAGGTCATACTGCAGTAGAGTGGGCCCTAATCCAATATGACTGGTGTCTTTATAAAAAGGGGAAATTTGGACATAGAGACACACAGGTGCATGTGTGCACATGGAGAACACTATGTGAACATGAAGGCAGAGATTAGAGCGATGCTTCTATAAGTTGAGGAACACCAAAGATTGCCAGAAAACAACCTGAAGCTAGGAAGAGACAAAGAAGGATTTCCTTACAGTTTTCAGAGGGAATGCTGTCCTGATGACACCTCAGTATCAGACTCCAGCCTTCAGAAATGTGAAAGAATACATTTGTTTTGTTTTAACTAATGCAAAGCGTGGTAATTTGTTATGGCAGCCCTAGAAAACTAATGCAACAAGATACTGTCATTCTTGTTTTCTTATTGTTTATCAAAGTAATATATGGGTATGGTGGTAGAATTAATCATGCTCAATTTTTGACCATGTAATATGTGCCAAGAATTTACCTGTGGGCATGTATTAACTCATTTAACCCTTGAAAAACAGTCTGGGGTAGGTGGTGGTATTATCTGAGGCTTATAGATAAGGAAATCAGGGCTCAGACAGATTAAATAATTTTCTCAGAGTCACACAGTTGGTAAGTGGTGGAGCAACATTTGGAAACAAGGCAGCAAACTTGCTCCAGAATCTATACACATAAAAACGACATGGACCACTCCCTTTTTACTTTTCATTGAGAAGGAAGGATGGAAGGAAGGAAGAAAGGCAGGTGGAGGGAAGAAGGAGAGAAAAGAAAAGAAAATCAAATAACAGAAAGGTATATACTGAAAAGGAGCAGTTTCTATCTTAACCATTTATGATTTACTTCTGTTGGTTCCCTCTACATTTCTAAATAATGTGCTTATACTGCTATTTTTCACCTTTAGAGATGAAATATCGATTCCCTACTCTAAAGTATATGAGTAGTTATCTCACTTCCATTGTTCCTACCTTTCCTTTCCTCCAAGTCTTGATAGCTGGATCAAATACTTAGCTATATTTATTCTATCAACCCTTCTGTCCTCATATCCTCCTTTCTTTCTCCCAACTTCTGCCAGCTAAAAGTTTGCTTTCATTGTAAAAACAGATTAAAATTTGCACTTAGTTCTTGTGGTAGGGAGAATAGTGGTCCCCCAAAAGATGTCCACATCCTATTCCCTAGAACCTGTGAACATGTTAGGTTACATGGAAAGTGGGGATTAATGTTCCTAATCAGTTGATTTCAGAATAAAGAGATTATTCTGAATTATTCAAGTGGGCATAATGTAACCATGAGTGTCCTTATAAGGAGAGGCAGGAAGACCAGAGTAAAAAAGAAAATGAATAGAAGATATTTTACAAGAAGCCCAGAAATGTGGATTATCTAGAGAAGCCAAAAAAGACAAGAAAATCTATTCTTCCCTAGAGTCACCAGAAATTAATGCAGCCTCACCCACATCCTGATTTTAGGACCCTGAGACCCACTTTAGACTTCTGACCTTCAGAAGTATAAGAGTATAAATTTGTGCTGTTTTAAGCCAACAAATGTGGGGTAATTTGATAAAGTACCAATCAATAGGAAACTAATACAATTCTATATCCCTAATTAAGCTTTCAATACTTTCTCTGTAGATTGATTTAAAAAGCTCAAAACCAGCAAGGGACATTTGGGACTACAATTTCTCCTTTAAGGACCTACCACTCACTTAAATTTCCCTAGTTTTCTATAGGAAGACCCTTCAGTGTATTTTAGAAAAAGGCACTGGTTATCTTTATTTTGACCAGGAGAGTAAACATCTTGATACAGTCATTGTGCCTATGGAAGTAGGGCTTGTAATTTCCCAGGTTGAGATCTGTAATTAATGTCCCTGTTTTCCATTCCCATTCTTGAGACCCTCTCCCTTTGTCCCTGCAGCCTCCAGGTCTGTGTCCTCTCTGGGTGTTGCCAGCAGGGACCTCCCTTGTAAGCTGAGCTCCTGCTGCTGCTTCCCATCTATACTGATGCCTGCTTTCTCCATCAGCACTTTCTGAATTCCAAAATTCTCTTGAGCTCTTTCATTCATTCTTTCCTGTTGTTTTCTTTCTTATGGGTTTGTTTATTCTATTTTATTGTCTTCACTAGCACTTGAGGAAGTCTTAAGAGAAAGAGGAGGTAAATGTTGGTGCTCAGTTTGCTATATGAAGGACATCCTTCCAACATTTTACCTACATTTTTTAGGAACTGCATTATTTCTATTTGTAAAATTTACATCTTGAATATATCTGGAGTTTTATTTTTGGTTTGCACTATGAGGTAACCAAATGTACCAATATCCATTAGTGGATAATCTAGTGTTTCCTCATTGATATGAGATGCTGCTTTTATCATATACTAAATTCACATGTGTGCACACAAGTACACATGCAAACATTTAAGTCTGTGTTAGTATTTATTATTCTTTTTCATTGTCTATTTTTATATGTATCACATTAGTTTAATTACTATAGATAAATGTTTTCAAACTATGTATACACACACACACACACACACACACACACACACACACACACACAGTATTTCTAGGAAGATACACAAGGGGCTTTTAATTGTGTTTACCTAAAGGAAGGAGACGTGAAATGAGTAATTTGGGGACAGATGTGGGAGAGACGTTTTTCTGCACTTACTTTTATACCTATTGATTTAGGAACCATATAAATATTATTACCTCACATATATGTGTATTGTTTTTATTGTGACCATAAATTATGTGCATTTTTTTCTAAATTCTGTCTACACTCTTCCATGTAGGGTCTAGCATGAATGGAAATCTGGGCCAGAGAAAGTACCTACAATCCATGGTTGTTCTGATTGGTATGGCTGGCTTTCTCTGCAAATGCTGTCAGTCCTCAGTATAAAGTAGCTTCAAGCAGTGGCCATCTGTTCTTTGCTCCAGCTTCAAACATGTATTAAATAAATGAATGAAATTCCTCAAAGTCTGTGTCTAGTTGTTGACATCTTCCCCTAATTTGGGAAATTATTACATTAATTTTCTAAAAAGATAGTTTGGCTGTATGATCCTTATTTTTCAATCTTTCCTAGAAATTTGATTACTTTTAGAATGACAGTTTTATTATTATTATCATTGCATATATTATTTCTTTAAAGGTATGGCATAGGTAAGTAAAGATAATGCATAAAATAAGACATAAAGAAAAATCAGAGAGATGGAGATTAAAAAAAAAGAAAACAGAAGGCAAGATAAAGGACAAGGAATAGAGAGATGGAAAAATACCCAAGATGAATTTAAGAAAATATATCCACTTACTTTTTATGATGAGTTAATTTGCCAAGCTAAAAAACCCTCTTGTGTGTTTCAAAACCTTAGAAACTAGCTAAGCTGTGAATGTGTTTTACACTGTATCCTCAAATACTTCACATTGAACACAGATGGAGTTTAATAGGCTGGAGTGAAAAGGCAGGAGAAAATTCCCCCAAAGCACTTAAAGAGTCATGCTTCATAACAAGAAAGACAGAGAAACTCAGCAATAGGGGCAAGGAGGGAGATGCTCTAACAAATGTACTTTAGGAAAATATATTCAGTTATGTAAAGCATTATTTAGCTAAACTGTTCTGCATTTCTGATACATAGATAATAAGTGAATTGTGAGTACGTATGCATTGTATGTTTTATATTGTACCCTTGAATATTTCACATACAACACACACAACACAGATGGTACATAATGAGCTTAATAAGCTGGGACACAAGGGTGGAAGTGGGATGGAGGGAATTGTTAAAATCTTCCAATTTGATTAAAGCTTTGGTTCTCTCTTTGGCAGGGAAGAAGATATATGGAGATAAAAATATCAGACTGTGTTTAAGAAAACTAATTCAGTTAATTGACATAATAATAATTTGCTAAGCTTTCTAAAAGTCCACTTGTAAGTTCCAACCATAGAAATGATATAAGTTGTGAATACCTGTAAATATACAAAAATGTCTTTCCATTGTTCCTTTGACAATTTCACTCTGGACCCAGATAGTCTGCAATACAAGGACAGAAACAAGAGAAATCTTCCCAACTTATCAAAAGATGTCAGTTCTTACTAAAGAGAATTCCTTTCACCTCTTCAGAAGAGAGAAACCAAGACAGAAAGAGAACGAAGTATAGAAAAGGAGAGGATTGAGGAAAATCAATGTGTTCAACTGTTTTGAGTCAGTTATTCAAAACAAATGGTTAATTTGATAATCTTTTGAAAAGTCCATTTGCTTTGCCTTTTAGATCCACGAAATGTAATTATGAATATTTATTACATGTTTTGTATATTAAATATTTTACATCATCAGAGTTAACATTAATAAGTAGAATTTGGAAATGTGAGACTAAGATGGTAAAGAGGGAAAATTGCCTAAGCTAATCAAAGTCCAAATCTCATGAAAAAGAAATCCCCAATAACTTCTCAGTGGGGAGAGTGAGTGAAGGAAAGGGAAAGGACAGAAAAAAGTAGATGTGGACATACACAGAAGATAAAACAAAAAAAGAAAAGATCGAAAAAAGAGAGAAAGAAAAGAGATAGGAACTCCAAAGTTGTAATTTTTAATTTGCTAAATTAAAAATAAGCCTACTTGTATTTTTTGTGTTCACACAAACAAGCTAAGAAGTGAATACATACTATGGATTGCATATGGAGGCTTGGATGACCAGATGGTGCTTCCTAGGTTTAGGTACAAGGGAGTGGGTAGAGTAGAAAAGTGGGAAATTGCCTTAATTGGGAATCCTGCCAAAACCAAATGTGGGTGGAGGAAGAGAGGTGAAAAATAAGAAGCTCTGATAAGAGTGCTGTTAGAGTAGTCAGATTGCAAGGGTCTTTGGGGACTATTTTGGAGACTCTGGCTTCTACTCTTTGAGAGATGGTAAACCATTGGACAGTCTTGAACAGAAGACAGACAAGATATGACTTATGTTTTAATAAGATCATTTATGGCAGCTGTACTATGAATGCATTGAAGAGGGGTCAAGGACAGAGCAAGGAGACCAGTTAGAAAGCTATTACAGTTCTCTAGGTGAGACCTGATGGCAACTTAGACCAGGGTGGTAGCAGTAGATGTGGTGAGAAGTGGTCAAATTATGGATATTTTTTGGAGAAAGAACTGGAAGAGTTGGCTGACTGATTGATTTTGTGTGTGTGTTACGTGTGTGAGAGAGATAGTGAGAGAAGGAGGAAGAGAGAGCAAGTGAAAGAGAGTAAGAGAACATGGTGGGGTGGAAAGTCTCTTAGGTGAGACATTTTGAATGGGAGGGTGGGATGGGGAAAGTGAAAACCATGTTAAGTCAAGATGCTTATTAGATTCCAAAGTAGTGATTTCTGATATATAAATCTTAGAGTTGAGTAGAGAACCTTAAGGCTCCTGTAATAAAGTACCACAAACTGTAACCTAACAGAAATGTGTCTTACATTTCTTAACTCTAGAAGTCTCAAATCAAAGCTCAGCAGGGCTATGTCTTTCTAGAGATTCTGAGGGGAGAAGCTGTCCCTTGTCTCTCCCTAGCTTCTGATGGTGGCTGCAATCCTTGGTGTTCCTTGGCTCGCAGCTGCACCACTGCAATCTCTGCCTGGTGTTGTCACATGGCCTTCTCCCTGCGTGTCTGTGTTTTCACACGGTGCTCTCCTGTCTTATCAGGCCCCCAGTTGTGTTGGATGAGGGGCCCACCCTACTCCAGTACTGCATGACCTCATCTTAACTAACTACATTCACAATAACACCATTTCCAAACAAGGCCACAGTCTGAAGTAACAGGGGCTAGCGCTTCAGCATATCTTTGTTCAACCCATAACAAGTAGGAAGCCCAGGTAGAAGATAAACATTGGGTAGTTATTAGAGTTTAAGGTATTAAAGGCACAGGCTGGATGAGAATGGCCAGTGTCTGAGTGAGACAAAAAAGAAGTACAAGTACAGTTTTGACATCCTCAAATGTTTAAAAATTAAAAGGTCAGCAAAGGAGACTTTGGAGGAGTGGTCTGTGAAGTAGGAGAAACCAGAAAAGCATCATGGCATAGAGGTTCTGTGAAGAGAGTGATTACAAGAGGGATGAAGGATCAACTGCTTAAAGTGCTGCTGACAAATCCACTAAGAGGGAGAATTGACTAATGGATTTAACAACATGGGGTAATTATTAGTACCCATCTCATAGAGCTTTTAGGAGGATATGAAGTTAACACTCCACAAACACTCAGAAAATATTTTGGCACACAGTAAAAGCACAATAAGTGCTCACTCTTATTTTAGAAGTGGGATAATGTACAGTAACTCACATTCTGCTATGTGAACTTTTGGTTCTAACCAGGTAAGTCCATTAGAACAGCAGAGCATAATAGTTAAAAAGCATAAACTATGGACAACCTACCTGGAGTTGACCTTGGGCTTTACTGCTTACTAGCTGGGTAACCTTAATGCAAGTTGCTCCATCTCTCCTTGCCTTAGTGTCTTCACCTATAAAATGAGGATAACAATAGTACCTACCTCACAGGGTTCTTGTGAAAATTAAATATCTTATAATGTTAAAGTGCTAAATGAGTGCCTATCACACAACAATTGCTGTAGATTATTATTTTTATTATTATTTAAATGAGAACATTAATGTACTTGAATGAACTTGTCTCAAAATTGTTTTGAGCAAGCTGTATTGGTACACTGATAGCATTGTTTTTTCACACACAAAAAAACACACGGTTTTGTGATTATTAAAGGGCTCTGGTTACATGAACTTGGGAGGTGCTGGAATACCTTGTCTTGAATATAAGATTAAGGAGATTTGTGAATTGAATTGGGGCCCAACTTAATTTAACAATGGTTATGTAGCTACATACTGCCTAATTTTACTCTCTCTCTAGGAGAATATGTTGTCATGACAACCCACTTCCATCTCAAGCGAAAAATTGGCTACTTTGTGATCCAGACCTACTTGCCATGTATCATGACTGTCATTCTGTCACAAGTGTCGTTCTGGCTCAACAGAGAGTCTGTTCCTGCCCGCACAGTATTTGGTGAGTGATAATTTATGGAGCGTAAGGGAAAGTTTTATCATAGAGAGTCACAGTAGAGGTGAGAAAGGTGGAAGAATGATTCCTGGAGAGAATGGGAGAAATGCCTGAGCTTAACAGTAGCTACTGAATCATCAGACCATGGAGCTTTAGACAACTGAAGTCTTAAGGAGGAAGTTAGAATAAGAAGAATATTTAACCAGTAAGATACTGAAATGCTCCTGTCTCAGTCCTGCTTGCCCCAAAAACTGGAGAGGGAATTATCCTTTAGTGAAAAAGAGAGGAATTTAGTGCACAGAGTGGAGAATTTAAAGGGTTAGGAACCAAGCTGTAAACAGAGTATTGGATTGGGGGCTTTGTTAAGATCCACCTTTTTGTGTGAGTGTCTGTTTTTTCTGCTTCTTCTCTAGTCTTTTTGAAAGTGTGAATTATCTGATATTCTGTAAAGGCCACACAAGGTTTAAATAATTTCTTAATAGTACCCACAATCAAAGGCATTTTCTTCATCATGAGTATACCTATATCAAGGAATACATTTGCATATCATTAGCACTTTTCCTCACAGACTTAAAACATATAAAACATTTCCTGCCTATTTTTCCCACTGTAGGAGATAAATATTTTTTTCAGCTACTAAACTGCCTCCATGGCGATGGTACCTGTGAGGCATATACTTGAGTGTACTTGATATCCACACAGAAGGTGTTTCTACCAATATCCTGAAGTTTTACCAGGTAGTGAAATAAAAAGTAAATTGTATTTTAGGAAGAAGTAGCATTGTAGGTCAGGTATAGTAGAAGATAGCAGTGGAGAAAGAGAAAGAATGATCTGTAAAGTAGGAAAAAGAAAGAATAATCAAATGTGATATCATGGAAGTCAAATAAATAAAGTATTTCAAAAAGCAGAGAATACTCATGTGGGTTGAATTGTACTGAGTTTACATGAACTGCAGGCAGAAACTGTCCGTTGGGTATTGTGATATACTTGGCTGTTAGTGATCTTGAAAAGAACAGTTCTAGTGAAGTGGAGGGAGCAGAAGTTGTATGAGAGTCGATTAAATATGCTCACTTTGGGAAATACAGCCAACTAGATACCCTGAAAAAGCTTCCTTTATAAAATCCTAGAAAAGCTAGGTGAAACAGAAACCATTCTTTTGTTTGTTTGTTTGTTTGCTTGTTCTTTGAGACAATTTCACTCCTGTCACCCAGGCTGAACTGCAGCGGTGTGTTCTTGACTCACTGTAGCCATTGCCTCTTGGATTCAAGCGATTCTCCTGCCTCAGCCTTCCAAGTAGCTGGGATTACAGGCACCCACCACCACGCCTGGCTATTTTGTGTGTGTGTATTTTTAATAGAGACAGGGTTTCACCATGTTGGTCAGGCTGGTCGCAAAGTCCTGAGTTTAAGAAATTAAAGGAAATACTCAGGGGCCCAAATGAAAGGACAAACGGAAAACTTGAGTGTTAATGATATTAACTGATACTGTTGTGGAAGGAAGATATGCTGATGGACTCCTGGTATTGGTAAACAAGAGTTTGACTTTTGAATTTATATAAGAAAGACATTTACAATTAAGATTGTGGTAGGCAGAATAATGGTCTCCAAACATACCCATATTCTAGTCCCTGGAACTTGTGAGTGTGACCTATACAGCAAAAATAACTTTGCAGCCGTGATTAACTAAAAGATTTGGAGATAGAGAGATTATTCTGTATTATCTGGAATGAGGCCTAAATGCGATCACAGTATCCTTATAGAATAAGGCAGAAGGAGATTTGACTATGGAGGAGAAAGCAGTGTGATGACAGAAGGACGAAAGATTTAAACATGCTCTGCTGTTGGCTTTGAAGAAAGAGAAAGGGGACCATGAGTGAAGGAATCTGTCATACAGCTCTAGAAGCTGAAAAAGGTAATAGATTATTCCTTTAGAGCCTCCAGAGGGAGTGTCACCCTGCTGACACCTTGACACTGGACCAGTGAAACTAATTTCAGACTTCTAGCATCAAGAATTGTAAGAAGACATTTAGTTGTGTGTGATAATTTGTTACATAAGCCAAAGGAAATTAATATAAGGACACTTCCCATAAATTCAATATCATTGAAGAGTTATGCTTTCAATGCAAGAGAGTACTAGAAAAATATATTTATCAGTGCAGAGGACAATAAAGAAGCATGTTTCTTTGGGCCTAGACTTAGTGTGAAATATGGGATTCCTTGATAATTCATTTTTTAATTCAAACTTGGCCTCATATTAATTTAGAATTGGTATTTACACTAATTGCACTTATATGAGAACCTGCAAGTTAAAATGTTAATATAAAAAGTGATTACAAAATTTTTATGTAAGAACAAAAAGCAAGAATAGCCAATATATCCTAAAAAAGAACAAAGTAGAGAGACCAGGAGTGGCAGCTCATGCCTGTAATCATAGCACTTTGAGAGGCTGAAGTGGTGAGCCCAGGAATTCAAGACTAGCCTGGGCAACATAGGGAGACCTCATCTTAATTTTTTTTTTTAAATTAGTCAGTTGTGGTGCCACATCCCTGTGGTCCAAGCTACTCGGGGGGCTGAGGTGACAGGATTGCTTGGGCCTGGAAGGTTGAGGCTGCCATGAGCCATGATCATGCCACTGCACCCCAGCCTGGATGGCAGAGTGAGACTCTGTCTCAAAAGATTTTTAAAGAAAATAAGAAAGCCTAAAATACAGCCATATAAATGGACACTTGATTTATGATAAAGATGGCACTGTGGAGAATTAATTTGAGATTGATCATGGATTTAAATATAAAAGCTGAAATTATGATTCTTAGAAGAAAATACAAGGTAATATTTTTGCATCCTTTAGGAAGCAGAACTTCCTTAGTTCACAAAAACATAACAATAAAGAAAATAACTAATAAATTGGACTTCATCAAAATTAAAAATCTCTGCTCATCAAAGGATAACATCAAGAAAATGAAATGGCAAGCCATAGCCTGAGATAAAGCATACTATATCTGTGCAGACCTAACAAAATATATTTTGAAATATTTATATATTCTGAAAATATACAACTCTCCTAAAATTCAATAATAAAAAGATGAAGAATCCAAATTTTTAAACAGGCAAAAGATGTGAACAGATTCTTCACCAAAGAATATAAAGAAATGCCCATAATCATGTGAAAGGATCTTTAACATCATTTTTTTAATTAGAGAAATGTAAATTAAAACCTCATGGAGACATCATTTTAAATACTAGAATGGCTAAAATAAACACTGAATGTATGAAATGGTAACAGTGACTTGACCAATAAATTTTAAATAAAATACTAGAACATAATGTAATATTTATACATTGAGATGGGGATATATGGAGATAAAATGCTTCAAGGACTTTCACTATCAGAGAAAACTGTGAAAGTATCAGTTATTTTTATTTTTATTTTTATTTTTTGAGACAGAGTCTGCAGTGGCAGGAGCTTGGCTCACTGCAATCTCTACCTCCTGGGTTCAAGCAATTCTCCTACCTCAGCCTCCTGAGTAGCTGGGACTACAGGTGCTCACCACCATGCCCAGCTAATTTTTGTATTTTTAGTTGAGACAGGGTTTCACCATTTTGGCCAGACTGCTCTGGAACTCCTGATCTTGTGATCCACCCACCTCTGCCTCCCAAAGTGCTGGGATTACAGGCGTGAGCCACTGTGCCTGACTTAATGTTATTATTATTTTTTTTTAAGTCAAGGATGCATGCTGACTGAAACTCTCATACATCTGCTGGGAATGTTAAATGGTAAAATTACTTTAGAAAACAGTTTGGCAATGCCATATAAAGTTAAACATATGCTTACTATATAATCTTGTAGTTCCATTCTTTAGGTATTTGCCAAGATAAATGAAAGCATATATTCATACAGACTTACACGTAAATCATACCAGTATTTTTATTCACAATAGTTGAATACTAGAAACAATCCAAATATCCATTACTGGGTGAATGAATAAACAAATTAGGTAATATCAATACAATGGAAGCCTACTGTGAAATTAACAGGAACAAACCACAGATAGATGCAACAACATGGATGAACCTAAAAATACTATGCTGAGTGGAAGAAGCCAGACACAAGTGAGTACATACTGTAAAATATTTATACGAAACTTTAAGAGAAAAATCTAATCCATAGCAAATGAAAGCACATCGGTGGTTACCCAAGATGAAGGAGAGGATGGTATGGGCACAAAGGAATCTTTGGGGACGTGGGAGTATTCTACAGATGATACTTACGAAAAGGGCAGAAAGGAGTGTCACCAGATGGTAGACATTTCAAAAGAGCACTGGTTACTACACTGTGGTCCTGTAATGCTCTAAGAAGTAGACATCAAAGAAAATATGGATTGCACCTCTGGAGCTCTTGATTCTGAATTATCAACCACATTTTGAGAACCAAAACAGTGTATTCAAGAGGAGAGTGAGGTTTCAGTTAAGACCAAAAGGGGGATACACATTCAGATAACAGGTTGAGAATATAGACTCCCCAGTCATAGAGTAGCAGAATTAGACAGTAAGAAGAGTTTGCAATAAAGAATTTATAATCGTGTGGGTGATAGGATTAGATGGGACTTTGTGAAACAGAATTGAGACTGACTGAAAGTGAATTAACAAATAGCCTTGCCCTTGTAGTGGTGTTTGATGTCTGAGGTAAACAGATATATGAAATGTGATTGATTCTGTTTATCTCGTAGGGGCAGAATGGGTAATCATTTTGAATGCTATGGTCTGAAATATCTAAATTTTTTATCCTGAAGACCTAACTCTGTATAAGGCACAAAGCAGACAGTAATGCTGGAGAAAAGAAGACAATAAGAGCTACATTAATAATAATAATATATTTAATAGTTACTGTAAGAAAAGTACAATACTAACTCTGATGGGAGCAAATGTGGTACAGTGGACTAGTTGGCTGTTCCTGAGAATTAAAGTCCTTTCCACTCATCACAGATGTGGTTTGGTATAAGAGACACATGTCATGAAGTAAGTGCACTAGAAGTGCTCAAAGGAGACGAGGGAGGACAGTAAGTTCTACCTGAGCCTTTTCAGAAATGTTTTCTAGTCTTGAAAGAGAAGCACTGGTGACAGGCTGAATATCTTTTAAAATGCCAAGAATCTCTTTGTCCATCCATGAAGTGTACCAAAGGCTTGATTGAGGGCCCTACCAGCTCTGACTAGCTAAGAGCTTTCTTTAAGTTGACAGTTTTAATTAAGCCCTAGAGACTAGAGCTCTAAAAATCTCTACTGAGACATGGCACAGAAACACTTATGTCACAATGCAGTTCTCTTCATCTAAGCACTAGTAGCACACTTCTATGAATGTATGAGTGGACAACTGCATTTGCTACTAACCATTAATGAGGTAGCTTGTTTCTCCCATTAAGTAACTCCTTGCTCAGTATGATCTAAAGGTTTCCAAAACCTGAATCCATTCTCACAGATTACCAGGTTACAGATTCAGATAGTTTGTTAATAAGTATTAGTTATGTGGCTGATTCCTTACATGGCTTAAAATGCGTTTTGGCTCATCAGCCTTGATGACTCTCTGCCTAGTTTGTGCAAAGGTACTCCTTTAGGATATTTCTGGTGAAACTGTACTCAGTCTTTTCCAGTCTGGATTTTTATTTATATAGAAAATATGTAAGTAAGGTGCTACAGCAGACCAAGATAGAAGAGGAAACCCCATAGGGATAGCACACATGGCTGACCCTTTGGGTAAAGTTAATGGAGGCAGTGCCTTCTCTGTTTGCTTTCGTATGTAGCATCTTTCAACCGATTCTGACTTCATTCCATGCCCCACTTGACCTCACTTTCTCCATCCTCTTCACCATGCCAGCACTCAGAAAGACAGTCTGACCATTTCCCCTTCCTCAAGGTTGAATGACTTTATACATCTACTGCTTTATCAAAATCCTGGGGGACAGAGACAGTAGGGAATATTCATAAATGAGCAAAATGGAGGCACAGAGAGAATAAAGAAATTCCCTAAGATACAAAGCAAGTAAGTGGCAGTACTCAGAACATCTAACTTCTAGTATAGTAGTCATTGAGACTAGAATAACATTACTAGCAATTGTAAAATTATTATGTTATATTGTTAACAATGTGATTATACTTATACTACTATGATTAACTATATAATTATGACATTATTGTTCTAAGAACAGTAAAAATAATAGGTATGTTAATTATAGAAGCTATTTATGTCTATATATAGATAGAGTCTATAGCATATCAGACACATTATATATATATATATATATATATATATATATATATATAGAGAGAGAGAGAGAGAGAGAGTCTATAGCATATCAGACATATTTTATATATATGCATAGTTCCAACAAATATCTGTATTATCTGGTGTTATCACTCCCCTTTTACACATGATAAAACTGAGGCTGTCTGGGGTAGAACACCTTATTTTAAGGTAATATTACTAGTAAGTGAGATTGCCCAAGTTTCAAACTAGTTCATTCTGACTCTAAAGTTTATACCATTAATCACAATTTATATATATGTATATATATCTCACATGCATATCTAAAATATGAAAATATTAGGAAAAAACATAAAGTAGAATTTAAAGGTAAATAAATTCTTGAATTTAGAATAACACTCCTCCACCAAAAGAATTAATTGATCTAAAGACAAGCTTGTATTTGGCAAAAACTCACAAGAAACAGATTTTGAGATAGTTTTCATTGTCCAATAGGGACCTAGGGTGTGATGCAGTTACAGAACCACTTTCCACAATAGTTTGCTGCATTATCAGAAAAGTGTCCAAAATTAAGGAAGTAATCATCCTACTGAATTCAGACCATGTCCTGAGTCTTGGGCTCAGTGCCGGGCTATTCAGAAGAAAATTGCAAGGATAGGGAAGGAAGTGAACAAGAAAAGGAATTCATGAGGTGAACATGAATCTCCATGTTCATTTTGAATATGAGTAGTTTTGCCAGAAACCATAGCCCTTTTCAGGTCTCTGAAGGCCTGTTCTGGCAAGTAAGGAGATTTTTTTTTTCTTTTTTCTTGCATGACCACAGAAGAAACTCGAAGATTGGTCTGTGGGCCAGTAGCTAAAAGAAGGCAGGTTTCAGCTTATAAGCTAGTTTTGTATAATTAAAATGCTCTCTTACAGTAAAATGGACTACTTGATCCTCAACAGAAATGTTTAAGCAGAAGCTAGAGGACAACAATTAAAAGTACTCCATTGCAGATGCCTATTCCTCTGCCAGTTGGGATGGGCTGGTTACTAGTTGGGCCCATCAGATTTGATTGTCTGATTTTTAATTATTATTATTATTTTAAAGGGACCATTCTGAGTGGGGCAAATCTTCTTCTTTCAAATAGGAAATCAGTAATTTCAATGAATAAGCTCTCAATGTTTTCCAGTTGCAACTGGTTCTTATCTTTTCTCTCCTCAGGTGTCACCACTGTGCTTACCATGACCACTTTGAGTATCAGTGCCAGAAATTCTTTACCTAAAGTGGCATATGCGACGGCCATGGACTGGTTCATAGCCGTCTGTTATGCCTTTGTATTTTCTGCACTGATTGAATTTGCCACCGTCAACTATTTCACCAAGCGAAGTTGGGCATGGGAAGGCAAGAAGGTTCCAGAGGCCCTGGAGATGAAGGTGAGATGCAGCAAAAGAGGAACTGAGAAGCACCCCCTGAGAGACCTGTATTGGGACCAGGAGTGGGCAGCCTATAGCCTGCAGGAACTGGGCAGGGCTATGTGCTATTCACTGGGGTCATCAATCCAATTCTCAACTGGAGTGCTTCTTGGCAACCTGGCATGTAATCCAAGGGGAAAGAAAAGAGGACATGTTTCATGGAGGGTTGATGTCTTGTGAAGGATCAAGCCTAAATGTGATGCTGCTAGATTCAAGGGGGACTCATTTGTACTTACAAAGTCACCCAGAGGGTTGAACTCTATCTTCAACACAGAAAACAATCTCTAGGGCCACTTCTGCTCCTCTTTCTAGTATGTTCAAATTATATCAAAACAAAATGATAATCTTTCCTTCTGTGTTTGCTTATTTTGTACTCTGTATCCGGGCTGCTCTTTGTTTTTCCCCTGCCTGCTAAAGACCTACTCTTCTTCAGGACCCAACTGAAATGCTACTTTCTCCATAGGGCCTTCCTTGAATCATTCACAGATTTATCTTTTCTTGAGGCATGGGTGCCCTGATATTAAAATAATTTATTTGTATTAGTTTGTGTCTTCCTCTCACTAGACTGTGAACATCTTGAGGGCAGGGGTTTGTCTCCATCTTATTTCTAGCTAGCCAACATCCTTGCATGGCATCTAACTCACAGTAAAAGATGAATAAATATCAATTGGATTGGTGGATTGATGAGAACGAAGAAGAAAGATTAAAAACACTAAACCAGCTGAATTGATAGGAATAAAATATGAATACAGTTAAATCAAGATTGTTGTCCCTGGCTGCTTTAAATAAGTTCAGGTTGCTAGATCTAGGTGAAGATAATCCAAATATGCTAAGACGAACTAGCAAATGAGATCTCAGGACCATCTTGGAATCATTCAAATAATCATAGAGAAGAAAAATGATAATGATTTTTTCAAATTAGGAGAAAATGTGTATTGTATAGAGTATAGATTGGAGAGTTGGCAAAATTTGTGAATAATTTTAACTACTTATTTAGATAAAATATATTAACTCTGTGATGTAAATTATGAAGAAATAAGTATAGTTTTACTTCCTTAATTTACAATAAGAATTTTTTGGTTGGCGTTATTGTGCTTAATCTAGTTGTTACCTTTGTGCCCTTAAAATATATTTCTCTATAACTTGGTTTATCAGCTAGGAACAGGATCTGATAGCCCCTCACCCACTACGAATATAAGGAAATCAGTACAGGCTCACTCCTACCACTCCTTCTATCAGTTCCTGTCATCGACTAACTTCTGTTTGCTATACTACAATTTCTGCATTATTAAGTTTTATAACACTTACATCCTTCGATGCAATTGTAAATCCTATAATTGTTTAGTCATAGTTCTGTATTTAAATTAGTTCTTTTCTTAAAATAGTCCTTTTTATCTGTTGTTTCTATTCATTGTATAGTTACATCAATTCTTTTTTTTTTTTAACTTTTGTTTTAAATTCAGGGGTACATGTTCAGGTTTGTTACATGGTGAACTTGTGTCATGGGGGTTTGCTGTACGCTGTACACATTATTTAACACCCAAGTATTAAGCATAGTATCCATTCATTATTTTTAAAGATCCTCTCCCTCCTTCTTCCCCCAACCTTCCCAAAGGCTCCAGTATGTGTTGTTTCCCTCTATGTGTCTGTGTGATCTCATCATTTAACTATCTTCTAGAAGTTTCTTTAAGATGGTCTCATGAGAACCATATTTTCTTCTTTTCAAATGTATAACATCATCTGTCTATTGTGTTTATACTTGAATAATAGTTGGGCTATTGTACAATCCATGGGTCACATTCTCTTTTTTCTGATGACTCCGTGAAGACATTGCTTGCAATACTCTATTCTGGCATTGAATATTGCTATCCAGAAATCTAAAGCCCAGCTTGAGAATTTTTTACAACATAGGGGATTTTTTTTACGATCAAGAAGCCCACATTATTGTAGTTTTGTATTTAGGAAGTCGAGTAATTTTACAAGGATATATTCTGGTCAAATTATGTACTTTATTCATTAGACACCATATTACCCTTTATGACTATAGATTCATGGCCCCCTATGATTCAAGAAAGCTTTCCTAAAAACCTTTTATTTGTTCTATTTTTCCTCCAGCAGCACAGACTATACATATCACAGAACTTTTTTATTTCTCATATTCACAATTTCTTCTCTAATGCTTTTTCACTGTTATTTTTCATTTCATTTTTGCTCAGTTTTATCAAGCGTATCTTCCCTGTCCCTGACCATTTTTAGCAATCCCTATTCACCTTCATTTGTATGGCAGTATTATTTTCTTTACATTTATTTTATCATCTTTGTTGACTTATTTTTCAGGTGTTCTCTTTTTTTGTGTGTTCTTCACAAATCCTTTATTGGTCATATTCTTCCATTTGCAATAAAGTTTGTATTAGTACCATGATAATTTGTCTTCAATTATTAGTTGAGGTTGTGTTAGAGAAGTTTTTTACTACCCTTTTTATGTATGGAGGTATCATTTTGGGGAGTAACTGAGAGAGTAAGCAGGATAGTCATGAGTAGCTGAGAAAAAGTAGTAGAGAGTAGTTTGAACATCATTTGCTGTCATATAATCTCTTGTGAGTACTTTTCCCTGTAGTTGTGATTCTGCTTCTGACTAGTAAGTAGTTTCTCTTGTTCACAGGAAATCCCTTTATGTTGATACAGGTGTCTGTGTATATGTTTTTGTGGGTTTTTGTGTGTGTGTGCTTGTGCAGGTGAATGTGTGCATAGTGTTATATGCTTTAATTTTCCAATCCATCTTCTCTGCCCCATGTGGTAGTCAGAGTTCTAGGATGTTCTCACTACCAGCTTGAAAACTGATTTTATTTCAAAACAGGGATTGTTTCTTTCCTTCATCAGGTCATGCCACACACTTTTGGGACACTATCCTTGACCTAAAATCTAGAGTAGCAGGTATCCTCAGTGTCATCTTCACCTTGATCTGATTTTCACTGTACTTTGGAGCCCTTACTTTTTGAGATTAAGGTTATAAAAGCTTTTAAGTTTCATCAAAGATAGAATTTTCTTTTTTTAGTTCTCATCCTATTGTTTTTGGTTGGTTCCAGAGAGGAAAAGTGAACAAAGATATTCTTACTCTGACATATTAAACTGAAAGATCCCTAAAATATATTATTAAACAGATAGGTATTTTAGGAGCAGTTAGCAGCAATCGGTTATATGCAGCTTGAGTTCACTAATAAGAAATTATGTCAAACTAACCTCATGAGCATTTATCAAAAGTTTACTGAAGTACTGGACTAGAAAACATCATAGATTTTAATAAAACTTTTGACTAACTTTTAAAAAATTATGTCTCCATGAAGAAAAGGAAGCAGGTTGGATGTGGTGGCTCACAAAGCAGGCAATTGCTTTAGCTCTGGAATCTGAGACCAGCCTGGGCAACACGATAAAACTCCATCTCTACAAAAAAGAAAAATTAATAATTATCTAGGCATGGTTACACATACTTGTAGTCCTAGCTAATCAGGAGGCTGAGGTGGGAGGATCATCTGAGCTCGGGAGGTCCTGACTGCAGTGAGCCAAGATGGCATCACTTCACTCCAGCCTAGGTGACAGAATGAGACACTCTCAAGAAAGAGAGAGAGAGAGAGAGAGAGAGAGAGAGAGAGAGAGAGAGAGAATGAAAGAAAGAAAGAGAAAGAAAGAAAGAAGAAAGAAAGAAAGAAAGAAAAAGAAAGAAAGAAAGAAAAGGAAGCAGTTGAAAAAAAATAGTGCAACTAGGCTGATGTACGTGGTTAACCAATTCAAATCAGATAGAATTGACTGATGCTTCCAGGTGTGGTGGCTCACACCTGTAATCCCAACACTTTGGGAGGCCAAGGCAGGCAGATCACTTGAAGTTAGGAGTTCAAGACCAGCCTGGCCAACATGGTGAAACTCCATCTCTACAAAAATCCAAAAAAAATATCTGGGTATGGTGGCACGTTACTCAGGAGGCTGTGACAAGAGGAGAATCACTTGAACCCAGGAAGCAGAGGTTGCAGTGAGCCGTGATTGCGTCACTGCACTCCAGCCTGGGAAACAGAGAGAGACTCTGTCTCTAAAGAGATAAATAAATAAATAGACTGATAGACTGACAGACATCAAACTGAATGGAGGTCCCTGGGGATACACTACAGGACTTTGTCTTTGACCCTGCTCTTTCCAATGTTGTTATTAATGACTCCACTTAAGACATGTAAGGTAGAAGACCCAAATTTATAAGTTGGTATTAACGAATATTGGTTGGGGAATGAGTATTTTCCGAATTAGGAATCAAAAAGGATTTCTAAATGTGAAAAGGCAAGCTTAAATTAAAATATTAGCATTTGCTAAATGAAATATAAATTTTTACACATAGGTACAAAAATAGATCTGGGATTAAAAGTTAAACAATAAAATAAAATGCTAGGATATGAAGAAAGTGCAAATCCAATGCAAGCCTACTTTGTGGTGCAACTCTTGAAAAGCCCAATTTGATTTGGATCTGAGTTAAGAATCACCTAAAACTACTGAAGTGATAAGCCCTTTTAATTATGTACTGGATGGCCCATGTTTAGAGTACACTGTTCCAGTTTGGTTACTATACTAGAAAAGAGACAAATGCCTCAGGGGTATGATTATTGCTATTTTCAGATATTTAAAAGGCTTCCATGAGTGTTTTATTTAAAACGAGACAGATTTTTTTTATGGCCAGCAAGAGGTGTAGAAGTGGTCTGAAGACAGAGAGAGGGCTCAAATAGATTTTTGGAAACTCTAGAGCTAGATGTCAAAAATGATGACTATTTCTCCATTTAAAAAGTGCTAAAATTTTAAAAAGAGAGAACAAACAATATTATAAAACTCTCTTGCAAAGATAGTGATCTCAGTCTTCCTTTTTAGTCTCTCTCTATGGTCAATCTATTTTAAGTTAATCTCAAGAAGCATATTATGAGAATTGA